GTTAGCATTAAAAGGGGGGACATTCCAACTCCTCCACACGTAAAGTCATTTCTTTGTTATTCTTTTTGCTGTTTAATTACTGAGGGTAGACTGTATAATTCCCTCTCTGAATAGATGCTTTATTGAAAATAGTTTACCTGTTTTGAGAAGAGCAATTAACTTTGATTTATAAGCCCTAACTAAAAGGCACAGAATCCCATTGCCTCTGTATGTGTGTAAGAACCCATCCGCACAGAACATGAGGGGGAAAAAAGGGATTTCCTCGTAACTGCCATGAAACTACTGACCTAAAGCCTGAGGACTCTAACCTGATATTTTTAGCATTACACACGCATATAGCTTGGTCTTGTCTTCTTACATTGTTATGCATATGGCTCCAGGGGAAGCATACTCTGCTCTTTATCCAGCTGCTAAGTTGTACCCACAGCTACGTATTTTTTGAGAGCAGGCTTAACTCTTGCTTTTCTACATATTTCACTTATTGCCATGAGCTATTAGGAAGTAGACTTTTACACGCACTCAGAAAACCTGTGTAAACTAAAAGTCACTTAAATCTGGCAAACACAATAGGTGATTGGACTTCTGCAAGAAATGGCCCTCTGTTGACATATAACAAAAGATCCCACAGTCAGATATGTGTCCCATAGCCCGGACTCTCCCCAGCAGGCAGCTTCAGTAGATGCTGCCATAAAGGGTTTGGCAAACCTTCTAATCCTCCGTTGTTTGTCCTTTGTTAGGATAGCATAAGCTCTAAAAGAAACACATAATTCATACATTAGACACACAGAGGGAAAAAAAATCCAGTCTTTCATCCATCATACAGATTGCTGTGCAAGGGTTCACTTAGTATAAACAAAGCACACAAGGCAAGATCTCTTGATCATTCACCTCTCTAAGATTAACTGCGAGTACATCTCCTGCTGTTTCGCTGATACTAAACAACAGTAAACCTTCCTCTTTTCCTGTTACGGTATCTCAAATGTCGGATGAGGAGAAAAACTTGGCAGAAAAATGAAAGAAGTAAACAGAGTGAATATCATTATTCTCTGATATGCTCTATCAGTGGCTTCTCACAAAATGGCAGCTGTCAGGTTTAGGAGTGCCTAAGTTGTGCTTAAACAGGCACCATTCCAGAGCACAGTCAACCAGCTATACAGATGGAGCAAGTACAGTAGCAAGTAAAAGAGTACCTTAGGAAAGTGGTAAGGTGAGGATGCAGCAAAACTTCAATGCAAAAAAATGCGTTATTTTCCATTTTTTCACATAAGGAACATCAGAATATATGAAATATAGTCCACAAACTGATATTTATTTTCAGTATCTTCGGCTGAAGCACAAGAACTGTGTGTCAGAATGACTACGCTCCTGAAGTTTTCTTCACAACTTGGTAGGATTAAGGGGAGTGGAGATGTCTGAAATACCCTATTAAAAACTCTGCAAACTACTCACTTCCCCCAGGAAGGGCCAACACCATTTCCAGACTCTGGATCAGCATCACAATTTTCTTTAATTCTTCTGCACAAACCAATTGCCCCTGATGACAGCAAAGATTCCAACAGCTGCCCCCAAATCTTTACTTTGCTAGCTCTTTTCCCCAGCTGACCACCTTCCAGCAAGCAAATAGCTGATCAGTCATCAAAGTCCTTGAAGGACTATCCAGGTGGAGAGAAAGGCCATAGCATGGGAGATCTGCCCAGTGGGATGGCTGTTCATACCCCCAAACCCTTCCCCTGCCTCACCTGATTCTGATTCATACCTGATGCTCTGCTCCCACTGCTGTTGATTAATTGATCTTTTTTCTGTGTGCAATCACTTGTTGTTCATTATCATAACTATATGTTTCAGTCCCCTGAGGGAAGATAACTTGACAGCTTGGTGCTATGTGTCACGGCTCGTCCACATGGAACGCTCAGGAAAATTCATCTGAATTATCCTTTCAAGTGGATTAGCTGAACCACATTAAAAGCCCGGAATATACGTATGTGACCTGAATTTGTTTTAGTTTAATTTGTTGCAGAAATGAATTAAGCAAAATTAAATTAAGCCACTTTTATTCTAAATATGTGAATTCACAGAGCTATAATCTGGTTTATCTAATGTACTTTGAGATTAGACCTGCACAGGCAAACCTTTACAATCCAAGAATTAGTGTCCTAGACAATTTTGCCATACATGCTAGTTCAGGAACATGCTTGGTGAAACAAATCAGAGCAGCCAGTCAAAGTACCATTCTCAATTTTCCATTCACAAGCTGCTCTGTGAATCCTCTGTCTGCAGCCATTATGGAGACTGAATGCCCGAATTCTACATGCCTGTCATTGACCTCCACCTTCTGAGACCTGCTTCTCCTGGACAGAGATATAAATCAGAACAAATGAGCTTCAAAAACACGAGGAGAAAGCTGGCATAAACTAAAGGAATGGAATGCAGCCAGGAAGTACACAGAGGTAAAAGAAACACCCTGTCATTTCAGTGGAAAGCAAAACCAGGGGGATTCTCTGTGCTATTTTACTTAGCACAATTTTACTTAGCACAGAAACCCTGAAAAACCAGTGGATGGCCAGAGGGTACAATGTGGTGACGGAAGACTGGGGACAGGGGAGAAACGTAAGTTATCTTTATACGTATTTTTCAAATTAACAAATATAATTCTCTATAGAAAACATGAGGTAGCCTGGGAAGAGCTCCAATAAGCAGCAGGCTGAGAGCCAGCTTTGGCTTGAGACACTGAAATAGAAAAAAAAAAAAAAAGTCCTCAGCTGAGAGGGCTGAATCCCTAATGCACTAAGAACAATGATGCCAATCCCAGCATTCATTACAGACACAAACTAGACCCCACTGGTGAGAAGGACCCAGAGAGAAAGCATCATTTTCAATGACAAAGTCATCAAAAGCCACGCACATCCTTTCTTACGACCCCAATGCTTTCGGAAGAGAGGATGCTGGGCTGCAGAGGGAGCTGTACACATGCACTTTCAGTGCAGCACTTGATGAGGAAAGATGGTCCTCCAAATTATAATGACATTTCGGAGACGCATTCCTCCGTATGGGGTATCAACACACAGACTCCATAGGGTTCAGTGGAAACTTCCATATTGCTGGCTATACATATATATATTTATGTGTGTCTACATTTAATCTGTGGGTTTAATCTGTGGGTTTTCTAACCCAGCTCTCCGTTTGCTAGATTGAAGCTGTGCTCCCTGACACGACAGTTTTGTTTCATGCGCAGGTACCATGGTTTAATCTGGACTGATGCAGTATTTCCATTCTTATTTAACACAGAAAATCTGTCCTTCTTCCAAGGAAAAGAGCACAGCACTGACACAACACATACGTGGTTTAAAACTCTTAATTAACTAATGACTACACCTTCTTTTGAGCCTACAGCAAAGTGCCTCTGTCAGCACAAAGAATGCCCACATGGATATCCACTTAGTTTACTACCAGTACCAAGGAGATAAAAGGTCTAAAAGCACGCTTTATGGCCAGTCATTTCAAAAGAAGTTGAATTTTATAGTACTCATATGGCCAACATACAAGCGGTAAGTAATCTTACCAATGGATAAAGTACAGCAGTGCTTGAATATTACACATATTTGCAATGTGAAAAGGTTTCACAAAGGCCTGTGATTCTGTAGAAAATACAATGTGCCTGCTAATTTTGTTAATCTAAATTGATACTTAATTTAAATAAAAATGGAGCAGAGAAGCCAGCTTACAAAAGGCAACATGTATTCTATTTAATAGGTAATTAAGTAGACAGGGTGTATTTGATTCAGCAAATTCTGGCGCAAATATGCTTCTCCTCCAAATACAGAGGCTGAAGAAAAAGCTACAAATTCAATGCACATATGTTAAACATCTGCAAGTGCATCAGACTTTGGAATTCTCAGTCTGTACTAAAAACAGCATCATGCCTAGGAGGAACCTAAGCTATGAATAGAAAGTAGAAACCACCATTATGGTTGTTTCAATCTAAGTTCACGGTGATTTACAATTCAGATGATTCCATCCAAAGAAGAAGACTGGTCTATTAGCAATGGAAGCTATTTCAGATACCATCACTGCAGTCACCATCCTAACATGCAAATACTTGCATATGGCACTGATGGTAGCCAGTATAAAAATGTGGTGGCAACAACATTCAAAATGAGCAGTCCTGACAAAAGTTCTGAAGTCCTGTGCTTCAGCTGAGAAGAACCTATGCTCTTTCCTAGGTTATGCTAAGGCGCAAATAGCAGTTTGACAATATATTTTCAATCAAACGTTGCTAAACATGAAAGCTAACAATTTACCCATTTTCTGTCAACCTGCTTTGAGCCAGGCCTAATGGGAGGCTGAAAGCAAATGTACGACTATATCGGGCGGGGAGGGGGGGAGGAACTCTTGAATAAATACTCTAGAAAAATTATAAATGGAGTAAAAGAGGCATTACAGCTGGACTGTCTCTGAAAGCTTATCATCTGTCAAGGTCTTTGACTTGCCCAGGTGCTCCTTAAAGTCACTTAGCAAGACTGTTTTGATCAGAGATCGCAGAAGACTAATTTACAGACTGTTTTTTCCCTTTCATCTCAGAGGCAATTCTCTGGGTTAGGTTAGTCCCAGTGCTGTTAAAATAATTCATTTAAAGAATAGACAATACAGAACATGTACAGAAACTCCCACAATTAAACGTAAGTATGGATCAACAAGAACAACTTTGAAAAAGAATTGGAAGTACAAAGAGTTGATGTACACGTTTAAAAATCAGAACATAGAGATACCTTTTTAAAATAAGATTTACATGTATGAGGTAAAAGGAATATACACTGACAGAGAAACATAAATACCTCCTCACCTCAGTCAAACACAACATCTAGAGCCCGGTGAGTAAAAAGTGTCGAGGATATCTGTCTTGAATTTGACTTCTTGGAGTAAGTGTAATCTCCTTGCCTTGTGTAAACCTGGGCACGTTTGTCATTTTGGTATAGACCTGCAGAAACCAGAACACAGCTTACCTTAAACTTGCAACAGTTTGCAGCAGTGGGGCATTAGAGTAGCATATGCCTGCTAGCAGTTGATCAGTGCTGGTCTCATTAGCAGCAAGAGGTCACATTTTTACATAACTCTACTAGAAACTGCCTGAAAAATGAGCAGAAAAAGATAACATTGCCTTATGATATGAGAAAGTTCAAATGCCATTCCTAATTCCCACATATTTCAAGAGCTACAGAGAAATAAATTTGTAAGAGAAGAAAAGTGATGTTTGAGTTATTCAACATGAGAAACGAGACGATTTCTTTTGTGTGTAGTCCATATATTTTTTACCAAAAATCCTCTACTTTCAGGAGTAGTCTTTGGTGGAACACTATGGAAGAAATACACTAAAAAGGCAAGGTTGTCCTATTTGAGGTTAAGAGAGAAGGAGTATCCCAGTTTGCCTATCAACTTCAATCAACTTCCCTCTAGGCACATGTATTGTGCTTATCACCAGGGTATCTTGGCAGTTAATACAGCCATATGTCCATGATGTTCTCACAACTTTGCATACAAATGCTGTAATTTCATGCACAATTTATGAACTTGCATTTAAGAGTGTGATTCCATGTGAACAGCTCTGAAACTCTGAGCCAGCAAAACTCTCTTTAATAAAGTGGGACTGAAAAACTGCCACAGCTTTTACCTTTTGTATGCATGTGCATGTCTTCCTGTCACCATCATTCAAGCCCAGGCTATAAGGATAGTTGTGGAGAGGGCATTTTTTCAACAAACAAATTCTCAGTTTTAGGCAGAAAAATCCCTAGCTGCAAGGTAATCCTGTTTTCACTCTGAGAATTTAAATAGTCGAAGCGGTAGAGAAGAGGGACAAATAGAAATCAAACTAACTGAAGACGCTCTTAGTTTCCCTTTTGAACACGTTCCATAGATTTCTCCATCATCAGCAGATTATTTGCTGTCCAAGCACCCACCCAAGCCCAGCTCTTTTCATTGTAACATAGTCTTCAAAGCTGAAGTAATTTGTGTTCTCTCACACACGTCACGACCGACTCTTTGTTAGGTAGGAACTCATTTCAATTATCTCACATAAATTCACACGCTGCTAATGAACACTTGTAGTGCAGAGCCTTCTGCCAGGCCTCTTCACAACTGCAATGGTGACTCGTGATCTTATTTGTCATCCCAGAGTTTTCCAAAGCCAGAGACATGTCACCTCATTGCCTCAAAGTGACAAAAAAACCTACACAACTGTGGCAGCCTGGTGAGCCGTCCCTCAGTCTAGGGCTCCCTTATTGCAAGGTCCATATTGTGTGCCAATTACAGCCACTGTACCAGGGGAAATTGGGGCAGGTTATAGCCACATACTCTCTCTACCTCTCGTGAGTGAGAAATCAGAGAATAAGACTCAGAACCTCATGGTTAATTTACCATTGAGGAGATTGATTTGGCTCCCCGTGACTGTTCTTTTATTAGTATTCTAGATCTTGCCACATTGTCATTTACTGTGGCTTGGCAGGTGCTTTGCAGCTGCTGCTCCACATCAGGAAGCAAATACTCTGTCTTGTGCCTCCCAGATGAAGAAAATGTAGCCTATGAGACATAATAAGAGATTCCCCATAGCCTCCATAGAAACTGGGAATGCCATAATGGTACACTGGGTAATACGTGGAGAGACAAAAGAGCAATAGAGTCCTGAAAAGAGTCCATGCATCTAATATATTTCCAAAAAAATGATCGCTTTCCCGCAAGACATATGGAAACAACTGCTTTAACTGACTGTATAATGCCCCTTCATGCAGACAAGGCCAATCTGCTTGACAGATGACACCAAGCCGAGAAACGCATGAGTGTTCTCCTTGGGCCAAGAAGCAATAATGTCTCTGCGCTAGAGTTACTGCCACTATTAAGACTAGGTGCAGAATATTAATTATATTCACAGCAGAAGTAAAGGCTGTGGCACAGCAGCGTAATAGCAGTGAGACTGTCATTTCCCAGTCCAAACTTCCCTAATTAAGTCCCAGTGGATGTCTCCCGTTCAGGTCTTGATTTCAAAGGACATTAAAAAAAAATAAAGCAAACAAGAAAACATAGTTTAAGTCCTATACAAGCAATGAGGGACAAAAGTTTTGAGCTTATTAATTTGTTTTTTCATGTAGGAATTGTCCACCATCCTACTTTGACAGCATTCACACTGCAGAATCTAACTGACCTTAAAGTTAGGCAGGATTTGGTACACTTGAGACTCACTTCACACATTTTAACTCAACACTCGCAGATGAATGAGAGCAAAGGAAAGCCATCATCATGTTGCTCCATGTCTCCATATGATAACGATATCTTACAGTCAGGAAAGTAATGTACAGCCTAATCCCAACACTAGGGCTTGGCATCATGGCACCTAGTGCAGCTATTTATATTTCCAGTTCCTTGAATGGCGTACATGAATTTCATAAACATTTCTGCATATCTGTTTTTCTCTTTTTTTATGGTACAAATTTTCTACGTGTTTCTGCTGCTTGGTACTTTTATTGAAATGTTATTCCCTGGAAAAAAGAAAAAAGGAGACTCCAACGGCAAATACACCTCCAAAGGAAGATTGCACCTTTTAAATTTTGCCTTCTCAGTGAAGTTTGAAATTGCATTTTTTCAATGTAGAAGTTTCAACCTGCTTCTGTTTATTTTGCTTCAAGAGGAAAAAGTTAATCCACTGCTTTTTAGTCTTACACCTTTGACAATGGACTACTGGAAAGCAAAAAAAAGGGGAAGGGAGAGAGATGAAATTACAAAGATGAACACATCTGAAGAGGAAGAAATCATAGCGTTTGGGGCAAGATGCTCCTTTTCCTTTTCAATATTTTCATTTCACTTCTGTTTCCCGAGTAGTCAATCCACTCATTTGTCTATATAGCTGTTTACTTTTTCAAATTAAACTAGTTCTCTTACAAGCTTATCCATTTAATTCTCTTGGAGGAGTGTTGAAGAAATCATGAGTCAGTGGTTTATACAATTGTCGTTTCTTTTTCCCGGGTTATTAAAAACTAGTAACATGTCATTTAATTAGACTATACAATGAGAATCCACTTAGAGATTAGAAGTAGACTTAAAAACTGCCAATCTTCTTCCCTGCTACCAAGCAAGACTTTATAATAAAACATTATTCCTTATAACTGAATTTAGTAATTACAAAGGGCCTCATTCTTCATTACATTCACCATAGCTATACCTATTTCCATAAGTTATCATCTCATTTATTTGTACCAAGAGTACTATTAAATATAGTATTAATTTATCTGAGCAGGGTAAGGAAAGAAATCCTTAGAGGGTATTATTGGTAATGGTCTGAAACAAAGCTTTTTGCTTATTCAAAGCCTCTACAAGCACCCACAGTATTAACTCTCTCACCACAGCATGGCAATGCTCTAGAGCCCTGAGCAGGGGGCCTGCGTAAGAGGTGAAAGGGCCATTCAGTGGCCATGTCCATTCTACTGTCATCTGGAACATAGACCGCTTTCCCTAAGGAAATGAACCGAGACCTCCAATTTATTTCATATAGGCTGTTTAAGAGCTATTGGATAATAATGGCCTTCAGTCGCTGCCAACCCATGGTGAATTTAAAATAGTGACCTAGAGGTGAAAGGCTCTACGTTATAATCCCCTAGGCATATAGTCCCTCTATCATGCCATTTAACATGCAACTTGGTCCTGGGACTACATTTATTTATACCACCATATTTCATGTTATATTGTTCAAGGTTAATAAAGCCTCATTAATAGATGCCAGTAGACCCCATAAAGCTCTCCAAGATTTCATTTTACAGTAATGGCAAAGAACTTCACAATTTATTTTTCCCTGTCCAATCTCAAATACCCTACAGCAAAGGCTAAAATGTGGGAGAGGGGGAAAAAAAAAAAGGTATCTATCTGTTGAGGAAAAGTCAAAAGTAGTATTGGTCTGCAGGTCACTTAGTTAGTTATGGAACCGTTTGTCGTGCGTGATAAGTTAACTAAAACTTTCTTCTCTTGCTGCTGTAGAGATAACAGTGTAGGGAGGAGAGGAAGTATAATTCTTCAAAAAACATGACAGGAAAAAAGATATCTGCATAACTTAACTCTTCATTTAAGATAGCCACACTCCTCTATAAAAGCATTAAGAAAACATTGTTCTGCATAAATAGACACGTGGACTGTATGATGAGGAGAAGGCAGAGAAAAATGCCCTGTAAGAGGCAAATATACCTTTCTCCATGCACCATACTGTACATTCCATGCTATGTCTAGTATGGCTTCAAGGAAAAAACCTGGCTAATAATGACAACATTTTCTAATTGTTGCATCTTTTTTCAAAATTCCCATTGACTTGATTTGAATCACAATTTCACCTTTGATCTTAAATAAGCCACTATTTTCTAGCATTTCAGTCCTCTGAACTTCTGAAAAACTAAGGAGACTTTCTTATATGTAATCACAGGGGCCTCTGTGCCTTGGGGACTTTATATTTGGATTCTGAATATCACTTAAAATTAATGCATTGTATTTTCTTTTTAAGTATAGAAAAGAAGGGTTTTTTTTTCCAAAATAAAAAGATTGTTTTGTTTTCTTTTATTAAAAAAAGAGCTTCTTACAGGGCTCTTCAGTATTGGGAATTCAGTAGAAGTTCCTAATACCTTTTTTATCTTGTTTAATGCCAGAACAGCTCTAGAACACTCAGAAAAGAAAAAAAATTAACATATTAGCTGAAGAGAGTTCTTTAAAGTTGTATATTACAGAAACACACCGAAGCTTTTAGAAGGAATATAACAGACGCAGCTGAAGGAGGGTGCCAATAGGTCATGGCAGGAACGAGATGTGAATTTTTACTTTTTTTACAAATATAAATGAGGAGAAAGTACACCCAGCAATCAGCTTTGAAAGGAAAGGGCAAACTTTGCCTCTGAACATATATACAATTCCAAAATAAAAATGCAGCATTTCTTCACCAGACAGTTCCCAATCCATACAAATAAAACACACTTTGTGGAAGATAAGAGAGGGGTTGAGAAGCAAAATGATTTGTCCGAGGTCACAAACGTAGCAGACAAAGAAAGAAACCTGAGATTCCCGACTCTTTGTGCTGGGCTAAATCTAAAGGAGAAGAGGTCAGCTCTAATTTGATATTCTTGCATATAGCTAATTCTCTTCACTTCTCCCTCTCTGCCCCCTCCCCCCTCAAAAAAAATTAACATTTAGGTGAAGGTGGAATTTGAGGGTTTTAGAGCTGAATAGATAAATATTATACTGTTTGAGAGCCGCAACACATATCAGTCAGTGCTTTCCATAATAATGAAGTGGAACTTAAAGAATTACAAAATGCCTGTCCCCTCAGTTTTATACTTACGTATGGTCAAGTACAATTTCAGCTCCACACTCTAAAAAATGAAAAGCTTTCCCTAAAAAGTGAGTTTACATTGAGTGGAAAGACTGTCAGTTTCCGTATTATCTCAGAAAGAACAAGGAGTAAATGTACAAGGAAAACCAAGAAAGTGACAACTGAAAAAATGAAGATGACATGTCAAAACTTGTAAAAACCATATATTCAGATATATAGCCCATAATCAAGATTTTGTTAGATTTCTGTTGTACTTGGGTATTTACAAAGTCAGGACTTACAAACAAGTGCCAAGATTCATAGTATTACAAATATTAGGAAGAAAGATTCTCTACAGGAACAACTGTCTCAAAAAACACGAGCCTGATTCAATGAAATACTAACACACTTGCACAATTTTTTAAATTGAAAAACAATGGGATCTAGAATAAAATTAAACATTTTCTTAAAAGCTTTACTGAAAAGAGATGAGATTGCTCACATATGAAACTGAAAATTCACATTTTATTCCCCAGAAATCATGATCTTTCATCTAGATTGTCTCTGGAGACGGGAATTTCATCAGTCCCTTTCAGAAGTTTTTGTCAAAGGTTAAAAGATGCCCCTTTCAAGTTTTACATCTTGAAACTTTGTTTTAATAAACTACTGTATACTGATGCTGATCTCTACAATGTGATTTTCAGGAACAAAGAAATCAAGACAAGACCATTCCCCTTGTAAGCATAAGCATCCCTGTGCTCTGTTGCATTTTCACCCAGGTTCCTTCTACTGGGAAGTTTATTTGCCAAATTTCAGTGATGGCATGACAGTTTATGTTAACTGAGAGCCTCAGTCTTTCTGCTCACTTGTTTTTTTTTGAAATCATATTGAAATTTGTCTGGATGGGAAATACCTTTTTATTTTGCGCTATAAATCAAAAGAATGGTTGCAAACCAAGTACACTTCAAAAGCTGTCTATCATGTCGTTATATTTAGCTGCTCCCCTTTGCTTCACGCTTGTTTGCAGCATAGAAGACTGCAGAAGGTTTACTTATAATCCTGATACTATCTTTGCTTCCTTTTGTTTTAGTTGGTCATTTTCCCTCCCTTTCTCGTACCTGTCTTTCACACTTTCGACTTCCAAGAACGGCTTCAAAACACAGATTATACTGGAATTGTTCATCCCCTGCGTGCAATAATGTGCTGTACAATCTAATAAAGATCAGATAAAACTCAAGTCTAGCCGAGAGAAAGCAGAGACTCAAAATATAAAGTCCAAGGCTGAATTAGAACCACTGCCCAGGCCAGGGGAAGAAGGGCCTTTAATATTGCTGTGCTTAATACTGCTTTAAGGAATGCAGAAGACAGGACAACATATTAGAACTACATTTCCATACTGCAAGAACTGCAGAACTTGCATACTTGCATACTGCGAGAATATCTACAGATAGCTGTCTCAAGAACCTGTATTTAGTTTAGTATTCAGTTCTGCCTATAACTGTTTGCATCTAAGTATTGATCTTCACAAGTAAAAGAAATTAGCTGGACAACATTAGGCTTTGACCTTCATTTAACAGTAACAAGCTCTTGCACTGTGTTTGCAATTAGAACACAAGGGTCAGGAAGCAAAAATAAGATATTTTTAATAATTATGTAATAGTCTTAATTTGTCTCTATCAATCTCTAATACTTCACATAATATACAAACAAGCTCTGATTTATCTTCACACATCCATTCTGCATTATTCAGGACCATCACAACCAGTTGCCTCATTTTTACCTATTCATTAGTCACAACAGCTTTAAAGAAGAAGCATTTTAGAGGAGGTGGGATGGACTTCATACTGAAGCCAAGGGACCAGTTGCAACAGGAAAGGCACAAACATCTATCCACATACTTGCATTTCTAGGATGATGCTGAACTCTAGAGGATCTGCAAATATTTGTCAAGATGAGGTGTCAGTATGAAATCACAAATATAAAAGGGCCTACCACAGGATGGACTTCAAACAATGTCCTGCTTATCATCACTCCTCCATTACTTGACAGACATACCTAAACACTTAATGAGATAAGGGAGAAGTCACAAGTGCAGATGTAATCCAATGAGATCTCAGGATACATAAACATGCATGAATGCCCCAAATAAGAAATCTACTTTCAGGCAGTGACCTAAGAAGACCTGGGTGCCCCTAGAGTTAATAAGCACTCTATTTTTTTTTTCAAAATGTGGTTTTGTTGAGAATGAATGTTTCCTTTGGAGGAAAAAAAGAAAAAAAATCAAACCGTGAGGGAACTTTTCAACATTCAGCATCCCAAGTGATAACATCAATGAGAAAAATACTGTTTTGAATCAACTTCTCTTTCAGATTTCGAAACGGTGGGGAAAGCACATACTCCTGAGTACTAGTACATCACACACTCCTTCTGCCTCTCAGCACACAATAACTTTTCCAAATTCCCAGTTTGGATAAACCAGAAGGGTTGTTTCCTGTCCTCATTATTGAATAGTAAAGGAAAGGAGGAAAAGGGAGGAAGATTTAAAAGCTATGTGTACACAGTTAGGTGAAGACATACATGAATTTACTCTGCCCGTGCTCTGAAGTGGTTCGCAGCAAGGTAACGCCTGTCTAGAAAATGCAGAGGTACATTAACTTGGGTACAGAGCTGTGTTAACGTGTCCCGCCTGTCAGCACATTCTCATTTCTCTCGCACCGCTTATTCTTGCTGCATCCTTTGGCAAGAGATTATCCAAGGCAGTTACTCGCAATAACAAGGGCTTAGACTCAATGACCCAGACGGTCCTTTAGCCTGAAGTTCCTCTGAGTAGTATAATTCCCTCCCCAGCCATATTCCATAAGCTGTGACTTTCCAAGTAATAACACAATTGACCTTTTCCTTACATACAACAATATCGTTTATTGAAAGCAAAAATATTTGTTTGTATCCTAGCACTAAGTTGTACCACGGTGGCTGGGCAAATTAACATTCTGTTTGTGCACAAGGACATCACAGAAAAGAGGTAACACTGGCATCCAAAGAAAGAGTTTTATCTATAAAATATTTTATTTTAGACTATTAGGCCTGGCTTTAAGTTACATTTTAACCATAAACATAGGAGAAGCTGTCCCAGATGGTGAATGTAAAACGTGCTGTAAATTTTAATGAAGCAAATAAGTCACTAATAACTACAATGCCAACACTGCTGTGTTTTTGGTACATGTTAATAAAGCAAAATTAAAAAGGAGCATGCAGCATTTAAATAACTGCCTAAGATGCCTAATATAATTTGCTAATTCAGCTATTCACACTTTGATTGCACAGCCCCTGGTCATCTGCTCAAGTACAGCTGCTTCATGTAAAAACAAATAAAAAAAAAAGTTTTATTGTCCACCAGATGTCCCAGCTTGTAATACTTGCTGATATATTTCAGGTCACCCAAAGTTCAGGCACATTTAAAAATTGATTGCTCTTGGATGGGCAACCTTATGACAGTGGTTGAGGCACTTGGGCTCTGGGTTTCAGCACATGGGGAGATGGAGAAGCTCTTTTGGAGTAAAAGGGACGTGCTTTCTTGTTCTCTTGTATCACAGGCACCCAGAGCAGATAATGACTACAACAGCTCAGGGTACTTGCCCATGCAATGCAAAGGGGAAAATTCAGGCAGCACAAAAAAACCTCCCTCATTAGGTCACTGAAAACCCATGTAGAGGATCATACTGGGTTTGCTTTGTTTTTTTAGAAGAGATTTTTATTTTATTTTATTCAAAGCATCAAGGCACAGGCACAACAGCCATTGGCGTTCTACACCAGCACTCTCCCTACTCCTGATTGGGAGCTAGTCCATGTATGTAGCACAGCCAGTGCCTCTCCCCAAATCACATGTAAAAATCAATGGAGCAGAGTTATCAGCTGGAGCTAAAACATCTTGCAGCAAGGGTGCCTGTGGAGTGCTGCACACAGGCAGGTTTGAAATCAGCATGCAACATTTTATGTATGGATTTTACAGTGCTGACTAGGGAAAAGAGGGACTGAAGGGAAGGAGGGCTTGTTTCTACACATGCTCCTCCTTCTCCGGAGAAGAAGGGCCACAGTGAAAGAAAGGCATCTGGACAGGGCCAAGAACCCCTGCCAGAGCCACTGTGAATGCACAGATGCAGCACATCGACCCTCGCACCCGAGTACTATCAGGAAGCATTGAGAAAGCTAATGATTTTATATAAGGGTCCACTACATCTGAAATATTATGCCTTTATCGGAAAAGGTACAATGCAACCTGAAACTTCCCAAACACGTTGAGATGTTTCAGAGCAACTTTTTCTGTAGTGGAACCTGCACAGTCTGTCTTACCAGCACAAGCATCTGTTTCTCACCTTCTGCGATGATTTACAAGGACGAATGTCCTGACAGGAATATTTTGCCAGGAATAATGTTGCGCCGTTATACATAATTTACAAGGTGCTGTAGAAGACAGAAGAAGTTACATGTTTACCAAGCATCCACCTCTCAGTGTAAGGTTCCTCTTAGTGCACTGAACTTTCACAACTGCGTATAGCCAGGACAACCCCCACGGGACTTAAACTTGCATTAAAATTAACAAATTGGTCACTTGATTAAAATCTTTTCTCCTTGGGCTTTGCTACTATTAGCTCCAGAACAAAGAACAATAGCAGAAACACAGAGTTACTCATCTGCTTCTTCATTCCAGACAAAACTGAAAGTCCATTCTGTCCTACAGAGCACAGATTTTTTAGAAGGATTGTTAATGTTTACGAAAGGACCCCTGACCTAGCCTTTACATTTGAACTTGTACAGCTTTTAACCATCAGTCTGGCTGGGTCTCCAAAGCCTGCATTTGCCATGTCTGTTTCCACAGCTTGTCAGCTCACTATCCATTTTTTCCCTTCTCAACATCCATTTGTTCGTCATCTCCACAGTCTGCTAGCTGCATCGCCTGTACAAGGCTTCTCGGAGTCACCTCTACTAAAATTCTCCTTTTATTTCTGACTCTTGACTTTGATAACCATGGCCATTTCCTTAAATACCTTTCCAAATCCCAGTCCTCCTCACACTTGTGCCTGCCTTCTAACCGCACCTGGCAAAGAAACCACTGTCGCTATACCCTTCATCCTTCCTTGTCTTCGTTTTAAAACTTTATTCCCGCCTACCCTAACGACCTACCGGTGTTTCTGAACTGGGCCTCTCAGTGGGGCAGGGAAAAAGCCCAAAGCAGATGAAGCAACAGTTATCTTAAAGTGACTAACCTTCATTACAGCCGAGGAACGCTGCTGCACTGGAATAGGCATTACCCAAGAAGCCCCAAATCGGCAGGCCCTCCGCTGCGCTGTACAACACAAACGGGAACGGGGAAAGAGGAATGTGGTTAGTGACAAGCTGGGTGCTAGCCTTGGGCTCTGCCCAGAGCCTCTCTGTGACTTTGTGCAGCTGGTGAAGCGGCTGACCTAATGTGTTTCCCACACATTAAGGCAGTGGAAGTATTGTTCAGCAACGCAGCAGCCCTGAATTCATCTGAAAGAGCGTAGGAGAGAGTCGGTTACTGGGGAGATGGGCATCATGCTAGGCAGGCAGAAAAAAGAAACACACAGGTAAAAAAGGATAAGGTCTGAGGAAGTGAGATCAAATATGAATTATGTTGGCAGAAATCAATCTAAATGTCCAAGAAGCTCACGATCTGGCCGAGGACTCGCAAACAGATCATTTTATCATTGCAAAGACACAGCCTTGCATTTTCCACACAGTTCTCAAGGGACATGGTGTGTCCATACATACAGTCTTCTCCAACACCTGCCCAGTGCTCATGCAACATTTCTTGTTTAATTACCCACAGCCTGTTGTGTTGTTCACTGGGTTTTGATACAATTGGAAAGGGGTCTTTTCATTTCCCTTTATCACAAGTTCCCAAAAGCTGGGACAGGTGTTGGAAGGATTAAATAATTTTTTTTTTTTTTTAAGAAGAGGGGGGAGGGAACAGCAGGACGAGGGGAGATATCAATCCTCAGCAGAGCCAGGGTGTGAGAGCAGGGAGCAGGTGCGGGGAGAGACTTCATGCCTCCCACTCATTTATTCTACCACGTTCCGTGGAGGTCCAAATATTAGTCTTTTCATCCTGGAGTGACACTGGCAGCACGCAGCCTCTGTGAACACAAAAGACAAGCCCAATCTGTTTCATGCCAGGATGGCAGCCCCAGCACCAAGGCTGCCGTGGAAACTGGCCCCGGCTGCAATCACCCTGTCTTTGTCAGCTGGCAACAACACGAAAGCAAGTGCCACTTCTGGCCATTGTACAGCCTCATACAGACTAATCCTCTCAGAGGTTATCTTAATGAATTAGCAGTTACTGGATTAGATGGGAGAGAGGCTGCAGCTGAAAACTGACCAAAATTTCCCCTTCTATCTGTGTTTTTTAAGGGTCAATTTCAGTTTACAGCTCTCAAATAATTTTTTTTTTTTTAAATCATCTGCTCTGTTGAAGTTTCATTGATTTGAATGACAGTTTTGCTCAAAAAAGAACTATAAGATTTGAGTCCATCTTTTTAAGGCTCAGGGTCGCTTTCAGGTTATTGCTAGCTCTTACAGTTTCATTGTGAGACAGACAACAACAGGTATTTTTCTAGCTGCAAGGACTAAAGTCCTGGGACTACACGACTGAGAAAGCAATACATGACCCACATCTAATAGCGCAAAAAGCAAACGTAAGGAAACCAAGATTATTTGTCAAGTCCTATTTTTAAGTCAATTCCAGAAGTTTCTGAACATCTAGGGTTGAACACATGGTAACATTGCCAATTCCTTAAAAGCAAATTTGTCCCCTCTGGTGTTTCAATCAGGCAAAGAGCACCGTATTCATAGACAGCATTTACACTTGCAATAACAGATCTCAGTAACCAAGCAGACATACAAGCAACTGTTAGCTCACTGTGGTTTCTGTGAGCATTTCTCATAAAAGGTTATTATTTTCTTCGGATCCTGCAATTAGAATTCTCCCTTTAACAGCCTCCCTATTCCTTCCAATTATCCATTATCTGGATCGTTACTAAACACCTCTTTCAGGTTCTCACGCACTTACAGTTTCAGGGAAGGGTTTATTTACCTAATTCAATGGAGTTTTGTTGTTTGTACCAGCACAAAATAAAAATTAGGACCTCCACCTTCCATCCTACTTCAGCAGGTACATTTTTGATCTTTTCTAAAGTCCCCTGAGGTCAATGGAGTCATCCATGTGTACCCTCACAGAAAGGTAACGTGGGCCAGATTTTCAGCTGTCATACCACTGGTGAAATCAATAAATCAAAACTCTATTAGCATCAGTTTCATACCACCCGAGGATCTCACTCGCAAGGGTATGACCAAATGGAGGTCAGGAGGATCCTGACCTTTAAGCAGTCAACAGAAGGCATGGACTAATTGATGAGTATTGTCTTTTCCTCTCATTTTGTTCCTTGATGATACCTCTACTGAGCTTCTTCCTCTAGATTTAAGAATTCTCAGTAGCCTCTGTAACTGTAGCTGATACTTTTTCTTTAACTAAAAATAATTCCCTAGCTGCATCGTTGGTTTAAGACTTTCAGACAGAGATAGGGGCTGCCATTCAAATTAATAAGAAAATATTTGCATGTGTTTTCAACTCGTTAAAGTTTTATTCTTGGTATGTTTTGGAATCTGAACTCAAACTTGGATTTGAATTTCGGAAACACTACCTTTGCTGACTGTGATCTGACCTAACAGGCCCAGATTTGGTATACTTCTGTACACTTTTCTAGTGAATGCATATGTGAAAAAAAGATAACAAATCAGATATTCCAGTTTGAAAAATCCAGAAGCTCTAAAGAGAAAATCCACCAAGGAAGCAAACAGACAAAGTATACACAGGAAAGCTACTGACAAGTAAGTTTGAAGAGTAATTGCAGATTTCCATTTAACAGCTTTGGCACAAGGGATCTTTTGCTGATGATAGCTAGGTACCTTTCACATTTGTACAGCACAGTGCACCCAGTAATGCAATCCGAAGTAATGACTCTCTGTCTTTCGCTGGTTCTCTTTTTTTCCCCATACCTAGCAATATGTATAGGATAGGACAAATGCGTTAAATGAATTGAGGGCACAGGCTCTATGGAACAGCAGAGAAAGAAACAAACGCCTCCAGATTTTACAGTTTCAAAATCAATGCATCATAGGTAAAATTTCTACTTTTGCAGCTACTGCAGATACACATATAGTACTGGTTGCTATACACAGACATTACCAGCCATAGGTCTACATGTTCATTTCCACGTATTGTGATATAAAGTGTATGCATCTATGTGGCTCCTATCTTTTAATCTAGATTGCAGATTCAAATTAATTCATCTTCACAAAGACCTAGCCAGACACAGATGTACAATCACCTTCTCATAGAGATGAGAAATGAAGCAAACTGGATTTAACTTTAATTCTTTTTTGAAGGCATGAGAAGTGGTCATCCAAACATCCTTAGAAAATAGGTTTTAATTGGCTTTTACATGAAGACTGACAAACCTGGGAACTTAGGTTTCTCTGAAGCCTTGTGCTGTGAACCAAATCAAGGAACTGTCTGTCTTGCATCCTGTAATAACAGTTAGGCATTTTACCAATGCTCATCCCAAAGGCTCTCTATCAGAGAGATGTCCACAGACATTTTTTTTCCTGTTAGAATGCATACTGAGGCATAGACCTTGCTCCATACACATTAAAAGTGCAGCAACAGATAAAACCGGACGCAATATTTTTTTTAAAAAATAAGATGAGAAGATGAAGAATCTCAGTATAGGAATTTACAGCTAATTTTCCTAGATCCATTTACAGCTTGATAGTATTATCATCTGGCACTGTTGCTCTTCCACTTAATATAAAGGAAAGAGAATTAGCCACTTCGTACTACTGTCATTTCAATACAGCCATCATAGGTGGATGTTTTCTTCAGGCAGCAAGAAGAATTGGATCTTCAAGGATTCAAATAAAGAGAGGATAGCAATCTTAAAACAACTACATAACAAAGTTACCGCAGCATAGCAAATTTGTAGCTGTCAGCTGAGCCATGGTAACTTGACACCTGGCAATTAATGCAACTTAGCTTAGCCTGTAATGTGATGACTTCAAGACAAATCAAAACACCTCATATTTGTCACAGACTAATACTGAAAACCATTACAACGCAGCTGATTCATAATAGTTACATCAGCTATGGTCACTTCATTATAAAATCTGATTTGGTACAGATAATTAAGCAAGAAAGGTCCACATGGAAAGCATATTCTCAGAGAAAGCACAGAAATATTTTTTCTAGAAAAGCAAGTTCAAAATTGGCATCCCTGCAAATCTGAAGTGTGGAGGAGCCACAGTACAGACAAGGGTAAATATGCAAGAAGAGGCAGAGAAGGGAAAGGCCTTTGAAAATAAGGACCGAGAAGGTGACGTCTTGAAAAGGAGGTCAAGAGATTGTCCAAAGAAAAGAAGTAAACTGACACAGTAATAATAGACTAGGAATAGGATCCTGAGGGCTGAGTTCTGGATTCAAGAAAAATGGAAACAGACACATAGGCTTTATTATCCCCAGCTTCAAAATACATTTCATTTATTGTAAGTGAAAGGATCTAACTTCTATTTTCCACTAAACACCAACATTTGTAAAGCGTATTTATATTTGTTAATATGCTTAGCATTTACAATCTTTACCACATTACCAATAAAACTGATGATTACAGTGACTGTATTTTAAAGTACACTTAGGCAGAGGAATAAAGACTATTGATCAATTCCAAAGAAATTCACACATAATTAAATCATAATAAATACTAAGAAGGCAAAAAGCAAAGAAAAAGAACATCAAAAACATATCAGTGGTGCCAAAAGCAGGATCACTGAGATGCAAACTGTTCAAACGAATTCAGGTTTGACTGAAGATCTACGTTTCTGTACCTTGATGTCACTTTACCACATTTCATGATGATTTGATTTTATACTTTGTTTTTAATGCCAATGAGGCATACTACCCCTCAAAAATGCTAATCAGTTTTTATTTCATGCATGTTCCTCTAAACCTAGAGTGGACCGTAAAAACTTGGCATTAAATGTGATCCTGTAGCAGAGAAAGCATAAAGACCCACTAGGAAAACAAACTTATTAATTCTATGTGTAACTTGAGTCTATTTGTAGCTACTGTGTTTAAAGGTAGGCTAATGAAATCCATTTCATTTAAGTCAGATGGTCGCCTTTCACATTATATTTCTGCTTACTATTCATGGCCTGTCTGGGCAATACTCTGCTAAAATCGCATTTTAAAACATCCTGCTTGTGAGATGACATTTT